GAAAGCACATTTTCACCCTGAGGCTGGTTTTACTGGAACAGGAGAAACTGGACTATCATGTGAATAACTGAGCAAAACTAGATCAGGGTCAGATAATTTTATCCACAACAGCTGGATAAAATCCTCCCTATAAGGCCTAAAAAAGATCCTTGTCATACAGTATGTCAGGGGTTTGTGTCTTGGTCTGTAGATTTTCACAGAAAACATTGGAGAATGTATCACCAAATACAGCTGGATTGATATATTAAAATCATCTTGCCAGTGTCTGTTTTGTCACTCAACATCTTTACTCGTGTCCCTTTCTAAAACCCGAGATGAAACCCACATCATGCATGCTTTAAGACGCTGTTAAAAGAAGACCTTATTAGAGCAGCTTTCAGTGGAGAGGTGTAACTAAGGTGCACTGTGAATGCAGCTTCAAAGGCTTTTCATCTAAGAAATATGCACACCTATGATTTTTTGGCATGAAAGCAAATAGATGTTGAACGGCATAAAATAATGCCTCTTAGCAGCTTCAACCCAGGAATTATGTTATTAGTACTGGATGGGTCTTTAAAAGCCTATCACCCAAGTACTGATAAAAAGAAGAGGGTACGACACAGAATAACACCAGTTGCCTCCTGATTAAATAAACTATGTAGCACTTCAAGAGATATAAAAATAATTATTATTAAAAGAATAATTCATTTCAGACTCTAATTGAGTCCTACATTATTATTCTAGATTAAACATACTGGTTTTTTCCAGAGCTAATGGTGGAAGTACTTAACGAGTGAGCCATCTTATTTCCTGTTTGCATTGGTCACACCACATGTACTGATTTAAATCCAAGCTGATGCTCTAGACTAAAATGAGAGCACTGCTGTTTGAAGAACTAGAGGGTGTGTTCGTAAATCTGATCAGACGCTCTATTCTAAAATGAGAGCGCTGTTGTTTTAACAAACAGCTAAGTTAAGCACAGTCACTAGGCTTTCCTCAGACAGATTGCCCAAAGTATGCTCTACCTACCGCTGCCAGAGTGTGGTGCTCTGAATAACCAAATAATATAGTCCAACAGCTCTCTGAATTTTGAACGGACCAGTCTGTGCCAGAGAGTGCTTTGGCTATATACAAATGCACCTGACTGTGGACCAATCGGGTATGCACTAACATTGCCAGGATGAACTTGACAGAAGAGGCAGGGCGGAAAAAGTGAAAAACAAAACAGGCATAGAGCTGGGCTATGACATTCAGAAAGGCATCAACGACCGATCAAGTAACCTTTCAATCTCAGGCCTGCTTATCTAAAGTGCTACATATATAAACTGGACAGACAACTGAAAAATACTGCACAATACCCTACAGTGCTTTTTATTCTTTTCAAAGGTAATTTGCTCAAATTGGGAGCCAGCAAATGACACCAGAGTTGTCATTTTCACTCCCTCATTTTAAGACGGTAAAACAACGCTGTTGTCATTTTTGTGATCATTGAACATGAAGACGATAAAGCGTTTAGTGTTGTGACTTTGAAGTTGGTTCAACTTGTTGGTGTGAAGTGAAAATGTCAGGGATCAACTGACATTATCTACTGAACAGACAAGGTAAATTGTACTGGCATTGTTAGCCCAACAAGTGAATCCTGACAAACAAGATGAACAATAGCAGCATGGCTAAAATAATGACCTAATTATTAGAACTGACAACCAATCAATTATTTGTAATGATAATCAGTCACTTCAGAATGAAGCATCCCTCTTCAACAATACTAATCTAATCCTTTTAACAATAATTTACTTCTGTTGTTAAATAGTCTTTTGTTTTATTATTCCTACGCATTATTTTCTCATAACCATTCTCACTGCCATTCTTACATGCTAGCATGTGGGGCTTTGCTAAATATGGTCTAAAGCTGCAATGTGCAATTTCTTAAATTAGCAAAAACTGGAGGATTTTAGCATGTTATTTCAGAATAAATGTATATATCTCGTCCGAAAATCAACTAGCTTCTTCAGGACAACTTGTGCTGGTTGCCTCAGCTGTAAGACTTTTTGGAAACCTGTTTTTGAAACCTGTTTTTTCCTATTCTACAGTGTTTCTGTCCAGGCTTGTATCTAAATACATCATGATTTTGAATGAAAATAATAGAAAGGAGAACCAGCTGACCCTCACACAGACACCCATACACAGACGATGGCAGGCACGCATAAAAACTCTCTTATCAATCCATCCATCCATGCATCCATCTATCCATCACCAACCTCACTACCTGGGAACTCTGTCTCTGTACAAGTGCAGAAAACAAAGAGAAGCCATGAAAGCGTGACTGCCTTTCAGCAGGCCTTGGTGCTGATCGTCTCACTAAAGCAGCTCTTCTCTTCCCACTCAGTACCCACTTCCCACTCACAGCTCCTAGCAGCCTGCACTCACATGTACATCCACCCACACAGCCATTTCATCTGCGGAGGTAACAGGCATTCTTTCTGTCTCTCTCTTTCTCTGGCTGCAAATGTTTCTTTTTCTCTCTCTGACAGGTATTCACCACATCTCAAATGTTTAGGATAAATGAGCGTGGCTCTGAACAGGCTTACAGTAATGCCATATGAGGATTCAGCTTAATGTGTTTGTACATGGCGAGCCGCCACAACAATCCCAGGGCACAATTTTGCTTTATTTCTCAATATCATACACCAGCAATGATTTTGATAGCCCTGTGGTGAAACCAGGAGCCTGCACAGAACTATATTCATGTCCTTCCTGTCCATGCAGTTTACCAGCCCTCAGAGGTTTAGGCTGTACAGTTACATTAGTACAGGCATTGTTTGCAGTATATATACTGTATCGATACACATCAGGTGGATAAAACTCTATGTAAGGGTCATCTCTCCATTAGCTGGCCTGTAAGTTTAAAGGAATACGTCACTCACAAAATGATCACTTGCACATCATTTATTCACCCTGTGCTGGATTGAATTTGTGATAAAAACGTTGGTGTTTCTCGCAAAATGGCTACCTCCGGACCTGAAAAATGAAGCCAACACAGACGTGCCCTAAACTGCAGTTCATGGAATGGCCACTTGAGGCTAGCTCCAGAAGCAAGTCAATGCCCAAAGACTCCCATGTTTAAATGCCCAACTTTACAGCAGAAATAAACATCTTAGGAACCTGGTACAAAAAATGGTTTGGTCTCTAGAGCTCAATTCAATATTCCTGACAACTCTACAGTGAACGGATTTTTATAAATTTCACCTGTAACCAGTTACGCATATCTAAGGGCGGACCGCTTTGAGCAACAGGCTGTCGGCCGATAGTATTCTCAGCTTCTCAGTCAGTTCCACCCCTCGCTCCTTCACAGTGCCAGTCTCTTTCCCAAATATGATCACTTCTGGCTTCAGAAAAACAATATGGCAATGGATGAAATGCCAAACTCACAGTAGCTATGTCCATTATTTTTACAGTCTATATTTCTTGCATGCCTGGATGCATGGTGAACAATGAAACCAAAAACAGATAAAATTCTTCGTGAACTGGAGTATAACTATATCAAAACATCCATTTACAAACTCTCACGATACTTGTGCACGATAATCTATTAGTGTGTCACAAATTACATACTTCCGTTAGTATACTTCTATGTAGTATACTGTGTGCACTATGTACTCATTGGCGTTGTGCGCAAATTTCGACAGGGTAGTGTTGTCTCAAACCAAACACGGCTGTTGTGCACTCACTGGAAATGACTGCCGCAAATTAGCTTGTTAGCAAACTAGCATTGGCATTCGCGTTATCGTTCGGAGTAGGCTTGTGCCGATTTCCGGTTTAACTGGTTCGGTCCGGTTCAGGAGCAAACCTGGTGGGGGTGGGGGGGGGGCTTTTCACATCAGCGGTGTGTCAAGGGACTATATTCAACTTATCTTGCATTGAAACATGCATTATGACAACTTAATAAGGTTTACGTATGTTTTTAAATGAAGTGGAGGAGCCTACAAGAGTTTTGTTTAGTTTGTCTCAGAGGCTCCGCGGACTGCGGACTCCGCAGCTCCGCTCAGCTGTCTGCTGCTGCTGTGAGAGAAGTGTCCTTCTGCTTCTCCTTCTTCTTCTTGTGTAACCTTGTGTGTATTGGCAGTTAATATGGCATTATCGCCACCTAGTGGACTGGAAGCGCATTACACCTATAATGGGCTTTTATTGGGAAAAATAGCTCCAATGCGACCCCCAGTGGTAAATTTAGGTATATAATTCGATATATCGGTTCGGTTAGATATTTGGCTTTAAATCAAACCAGTTGGAAAATTTTCAAACTGGCACAAGCCTAGTTCGTGGTACCAAATTGTTACAGACTGCTAAATTAACACAACAAACATACTGCTGGCTTATATCCGACAACAGTATAGTGGTGCTTAGTGCAAAAAATACGTGTATTTGTACAATGCAGCAACGTTCACGGTCACACAGTCCTCAGCTGCTATTTCCAGTTTGAAAAGTGGTCCCTCCCCTTCCGCTACATAGCCAAGATGGCGGCCATTGAGGCAAGAAGTGTCCATAGTTCCACACTCAACTTTTTGACTGTTTTGAGTGCACCATCCGGGTACTCATAGTGCACTGCATTTTTCCCTACTTCTCAGTGTGAACGCACTTACGCACTCAAAATAGTAAGTGTAAGTACAGAAGTATGCGATTTGAGACTCAGCATAAGTCTCATTTATCCACTCATATGCTCAGTACTTCCCAATCACATGCACTTCCCTAGAACCTGGGTAGGTGCATGTTTTTGAACTCTACTGAGCAGAGTTTAAACACACGCGCTTCTCATCTGCACCACTCGTCCATGCATGAGACTCTTATATGTGGAAGTGTTTTTATACATTTTTGAATTCTTTTATTCTTTCTTCTTAACAGCTTGTACTGTTGTTATCAACTGGATCATTTGGTATGAATTATACTAGGAGCAGAATTTAATAACAGAATTAGCTATAATGTAGTCATCACATTTGGCAACACATATGGCAGGTATCCTTGGTTACCTGGTTAGGCGGACTGGGACTGGAGGATGAGTCACGCTGGATGCAAAAAATCTGTCCTCTCTCCAAATCTCACAGGTTTGATGTCAAGTTTGTCAGAGGAATACCAAAATCCAAGAGGGACAGCCTCCTAGTCACACCTGGAAATTAGGAAAAAGCAGACAAGATTATTATGAGTCATGACAGCAGAGTTGGTATTGTTTTCACATGGTGAGTTTTTCTGTATATAACCACATCAAAACTTGATCCTAGGAACAACTATTGTAGTATGAAGTACCACAGAAGCAGTTTGCGGTTGTGTAGTTCAGATCACAATGAAGGCTGAGTTAAAAGATGGGTTTGGTCCAAGTGCAGTTAGTAGGGCGATAGGAAGTAGGGAAGGGGCCAAAGGATCTAGTGCAGGACTGTTGTAGTAGTTAAAACTGGGTGTACTCATTAAAATGGCAATTTAGTATAAAAGGCCATGATATCCAATCATCTGCTGCACAGATAATTTGCATATAAAGTACTGTTTGTACAGTTTGTTAAAACCATTTGTTGTTTGTGTACTCAACCCAGATGGATGCATAGTGATGCCATTGTTAATAATTAATCAAAAGGATGGGAACAAACAAATTACCAAACACCATAGAACAACACCACTAAAAATGTACATTATGCTTTAACAATATCTACAAACCTACGACACCACAAACTCCCACAGCTTAAATTACCATGGAGATAACTTAAAGGGACAGTTCACCCTAAACTCAAAAATACATATTTGTCCTCTTACTTGTACTGCTGTTTAGCAATCTAGATTGTTTTATTGTGAGTTGCAGCATGTTGGAGATATCAGCTACTTTATCACTGGCTACTTTATTAGATACACCTGTTGATCTGCTTGTTAACGCAAATAGCTAATCAGCCACATGGTTGTTGTCATTTAGATACATACTGTGGCTCTCTATATGTTTCTAATCACAGCCACCGATAACCTACTTTTGGCCACAGGATCCATATTTCATTATTTCAAACAAAACCACATTTGAGTGTTTGAAAGTGAGTATTATACGACCTCTAAACTCATATGAGGGTTACTATTAGGAGCACCTGCAGGCACAAAATGAGTGAATACCTGGAGGCTACGAACAGTTGCTCCATTTTACTACTAATGTTAAAACTTTCTGAGGGGCTGGATCTGCACAGCTCTGTTCAGCATTCAAAAGAATATTTTTCCTCAAGCAGCACTGATGGCTCCAAGTAGATTAGAACATTATACTTAACTTGATATAATTTGAGTGCCTAGGAGATGAGGTGTCGCTCGCTTGCCAATATGTAAAATAATAAGATGACAAATACCAAGCAAGTGCTCTTAAGCAAATTAGCTTCAGGCATATAAACATTTCAATTTGTATATAGGATTTGTATAGAAACTCTCAGACAGATGGACACTGGACTATTGTTTATAAGTTTCCCTGAGTAGTGTCCGAAAATACTTTCTTTTCCTTTTTACTTATGCTAGATGATGCAATCTCATTTTCCTTGTGATTTTGATTTGAATAATTGTCTCTAGCCTAAACTACTCAGACTCATCTTGTGATTACCGCTGTTGTCCTGTTGTGTCCAAGCCAATCAGCTAATGCATGAATGACTGTCGAGCCTGTATTGTAATGGCCAAACTACAGCTTGTCTTGTCTGATGTTAGTGATCAATGTTTTCATTAATTCTGTAGTGACAAACAGGTCTGCTCCACAAAGACACTGGTAATTTTTGTAAACAGGGTTTTTCCCTCCTTCATTCTCAAGAGCATGCCAAACCCACAGGTGGCCATTTAACCCTAATCCTAAAGGAAGGCAAACCAGAAAAGGAGGAAGGTGTTGGTCAATCAGAAGACTGAAACCAAGGCTGTTTAATGAAGGTGGGGACATGCTCTTTGACCCCATGGGAGCTATCAGGTATGACACATGCGCAATGTACAGTAACTGGAGCTTCGATGTTTGAGGGTTACAGCAGACAGTGCTGGAAATAAAAGGACTGTATCTGCTAAGGTGCTCTTTGGTTGCGCTCTATTGAGCCTCCTTGGGTGTGCTTGGCCCGACAGACCTTTTGGGTACACTCATTTGGATGGCAGCCAATACAATAGAAAGTTTGCATATAGAAAGCATTTGTTTATGGTCTTTTATTACAGACTTTTTCAGTAACTGTAATTCTCACCTATATTGCTGTTTCGCGGACAAAATATTCCGACCCAAGGCTGATTACAGATGCCTTAGTGAAACGAATGAATCATCCCCATATTCTATGAGAGGGCGCCAGCCGTTGAGCCTCTTGACACATGTCTTAAATACCATTGGTAAGACATGATATGGTGCTATGACTTCTCTTTTTAACCTCTTTGCTTGAAACAAAGCTTTTACTGGAAGGCTGGACCGGTTAACCACCATAGCGCATTCTGACACTTCTGTTCATAAATATAGTGGAAGAGTAACATTTATGTGTAAACTTGTAAAACGCCCTGTTAGCAGGTTAGAGCCAGCACTATTTTGGTCATGTCCACCACTGCATGACATGCTGCTTTATTTGTGATGCCTCACAAAACAGATACCACACACACTCTGCCATAACAAGCCAAAATCTCTGTTTACACTGTCTACATGGCAGCCCTGAAAAAGGAGTTTCTAAGACTCTTCACCTAGGACGGAGGTTTACAAAAAGTTAATTTTTAGGAACCTAATACGCAGGCCAAAATGCAAAGAGCTACATTTTCAAAAATACCTTGGACTAGGCCAGTGGTTCCCAACTGGTCCACACACAGTCCAGATTTCTCCTTAGTCATTAGTTCAAGGTCCAAACACTTCAGCATCACACATGCGTTTGGCCATGTCATCGAGCTACTTTGCCGTCTCTGTCAAGTAGCTGTCCATTAGTCAGTTACTCTACAGCAGGAAATGGCACTTCAAAATAAAAGCTATGCCCCAGAAATTCACTGTACTTCAAAACAGAGTGTTTTTTTACAAACTTGACATGTTTGTGAGTGACTTGCGGTCTATTCAGAATGGACCTGCAACACACTTTTGGACCATGACCCACCAGTTGAGAACCACTGGACTAGGCCACAGTCAATATAAAATAATTGGTTAAAGCTACAAATTCAATAATGTTAGTTTTTGTTTTTGTCTTGCATAACAAAAAATACACATCTTAACAACTTAACTGAAGGAATGAGTCGACATTTCTGAAAAACACCTTTTCGTTTTCTTGTAGAGAGTTGAGAAGATCGATAAAACCCTCATATCTGTCTGTTAGATATGAGGCTGGAGCTTAGTTTTGTATAAAGACTGGAATCAGCTAGCATGGCACTGTATAAAATAAAAACACAGTATCTGCCTACAAACACCTCTAGAGTTGCATCTTTCTCGCACTTCTCACACCCTTTGAACTTATTCTGAAGACCAGTTTTATTTTAACAAACTCTCTCTGTAGAGTTTCTTGTACAATGTCCTGCTCTCCAACTGTGTCACCCCATAGTCCAACTACTGTCTGTATCCTACCTAAGGTCCTGTGCCTTTATCATTAAATTTGCCAGTATCTGCTTCCTAAATAAAGGCATTCCTAAAGGATACTCAATATGACCAAGGCGACTCACCACCACAACCATGACAAACCAGTGTACCTTCATCTTTGTCAATTCCTGCTGAAGAAGTGCAGTCAGTGCCTTAATAACAAAGTTAGATTTAATATACAATTCATCTTTATTAGCAGAGAGTGTGAGAGCTGATGAGAGTTGCTGCATTTCCAAAGAAACAAAGCTGAGTGAGTCAGCATCACCACAAGCCTTGGACTTCTTTGCCGTATAACAAAAAGCGGCTCATATTTTAATATCCCACTGAGTAAAAGGGGGAGTGGGAGTTCTGAAGGAGAGAAGCAATAAAAAGGTGCTTGCACACCTGGGTTGCTGAAATGTATGATTAAAAAAGTAGCCTGATTATCAGACTGAACTGCCATTTTGTTTCATTTCATTCATTCCATCTGTAAATCTATTTGAATCCAGAGATGTGAGAGGCGATTCCAAGGTCTGCTACTGAGCTAGTGCAGCAGATTTGTATCTGCTGTACAGCGGACATAACTTCAAATTAACTTCAAATCACTATAACTTCATTTAGTATTGGACATCAGCTGTTAAAATCACAATTGTGTTTGTTGTTGCTGTTTTGTATCTTTTCTTTTGTATTTGGCTTATTCTGGCATATTTTTAATATTTGCTTCTTTAAAAATGGCTCTAATTTATGCACATGGCACATACACTAACATATCTGCAGATTACTTTTTGTCCTCATCCCACAGCAGGTACAGAGTCATGTCATTTATTTTCTTTAGTTTATTTTTTACTTTTTTATTTTTTTTAAACTGGGCACATAAATGTAACAAAATATTACTTCGAGAACATCATGCATTTATTGAACATTAACTCTGGCGTTTCTTTTTAACACTGGATCTCTTTTAACTTTAAATACAATTGAACTGATAACTGAATTTCTA